ATCGTAGGTATACATTCAATTTTTATGTTTTATTTTGATTTAAGTTATTATAAAAATTGATTTATATGTTTTATTAACTTTGAAAATGTGTTACACAACATTAAACTAAAAATAACTTTGTAATTTGTGTTTATTTTAATAATTTAAAGTTATGATTGTTTTTTAATAAAATTTTCACAGTAGCATTGAACATTATGTTTCATGTTAAAAAAAGACAATAATCTTATTTTATCTTTTATTGATTTTTTAGTATTATTTCGTTTATAGTTCTTTAACAGTATAGATGATTAGAAAAATGGTTACGTTGTATAATACTGTATTATATATAGATATATTATAGTCTTTTGTCGGTCAATTGATTGTAGTTCATTGCCGTCAATTATAGTTTTTTTTTATTTAATCAATACGAAAATCAGAGTAGGTACGTCATTTCAAGGTAATAAATTGAATACTAAAATTATTTTGATCAGTTAATTAAAATATTAAGTCGTAATTAATGGTAAAATATTGCACTATTGTGGGGCAGTTAATTATTTTTTTTTACTAATTTAATTAATTTAACCTTCTTCAGATTGTAAGGAGTAATGAATATAGATTTTACGTTTATAATTTTGATTATTAAACTTTGATATTTCATTTTTAAATGTTGGGTACTTAGATATAAGATATTAAAATATTTTTAATAAAAGTTACCTAAAAGTAGTGAAATTATCACAAGTTACAACAATAAACTTTATTCTGCTAATAAAATCACCTAATTTTACTTCACTTTTATTTACATTCAAGATTAATTAATATTTTTATTGCTCATATATCTAGCAGCAGGTTAAACTTGGATTGCTGATTAAATTTGCATGTCATTTGAATGAGTCATATATAAGTACATAATGTTATAATGACGTACTGTTTTATACATTTATTCTAGAATAGTGTAAAATAATCGAAAAAATGTGTGAATCATTGTATTGATTTTATATTTAAATATCTAAATTAAAAAGAAATGTTGAAACTCATCTTATTCTAAGAAAATGCTAAGTATTTAGTATTATTGACAAGATATTGTTTTAAAAAAATTGAATAAGTACATTAAACTTATAAGCATTGTCATAAAAAGGTGTAATTTATTTATTTACAAAAGCCAGAAAATATGTTCATGGTTAATATATAAAATATAGGTTTTAAAAAGTGAATTATAAGAAAAAAATGTTAAAAGCCTTTGAAATTTGAGTTCTAAGTAAAGAATACAAGTTGGCGATAAAGCTGTAGTATAAAACATTGAGATTTGGAGGTATCTTTAAGCACAGGTACAAATTAGTTTAACTTGCTAGAACTCAGCCAAAACTATTTATACATTGAAAAAATTTTCTTAACAAGGAAAGTGCATATATATTAATAGGTTTAAATTTAAATCTAAATCTATCAATATTTTTTTAAAGTTATATCCATTATAAGGTGTAAGGTGCTATAAAAAATGAATCTAATTTCTTCAGAATATTGGTGCTCTAAACAAATACTGAAATACATATTTAATATTATTGTATATTATTCATCCATTATCAATATAAATTTTGATAAATAGACTTTTCTACGCCATCTAATACACATACACAAAGATAGGCAAAAATGTACTGCTTTGTTAAATTTAATAAAAATGTAAATGTATAAACTTTTTGATTTTTAAAAAATGTAAATTTACTTTCTGGACGACTTCATTATATCAATAGATATATGTATTGTTATTGTCATTTATTGAATTTTTCCTTATTAATTGAATATAATACACGTGATGTTGAATTTGACTTAAAAATCAATTCGTGTGAATACAGTTTATCAGTTTATACACGCGTAGTTTTTATAAATCACCAAATGTGAAACATTTAGTAATTTGTATGAAAAATTACTATAAAAATGATTAAAAATATAAATTTTATAACTATCCACATTGTACAGTTTCATTATGTTATCACAGAAGCTAGGGTAACTTTGGATTATAACAAAATTATTTACATCGTTAAATTTGTTATTTTATCCAAATTTTAACTTTAATTGCATAAAAAAAATGTGATTGTATATTTTTTAGCTATTTTAATTCTAGTATAGGCTAATTATGAACTAATAAATTACATTTTTGAAACTTAGCAATACAAATTAAGAATTTTATAATTTTTTTTACGAAATACTTGTAGTTATTACATATTTGTAATTTTGACGAATTTTGTAAAAATTTGAATTTCAAATTTACATCAAAAAAATTGCACCATAAATACAAATATAGTAATTATACAAAAATAAAAATAATAATAAATAGTTATTTTGACTTGTTTAATAATATAATAAAAGAATGACATCTACTTTTTATGTGAGCAGACATATACTGCAGCAAAGTTAACTAAGAAGGTGAAAGGGACGATCCCGTTCTAATCAGTTTTGAGGTGGTTGTACATGCAAGTTCTAGTACATTGAACCTGTTGAGTTAAGCAATGTGAACTATGGAAAATTTTAGGTAAAATGTTTACGAAGTTTTGTATTTTTGTTTTGGTATTTGGAAGTCTTTTTTGTAGTTTTTGATTTACAATAAATAATAAAATGCATTTTTCCAAAAACTGGTTTTGCGTACAAATTTTCGTTCATCTTGTTTTTTTTGTTATGTAAACACTGAGAATTATTTATATTGACCTCTTTAAAGTTCAAACTAGATAACATTTTCTATCAGAAACCTACTTCAAAGTTGAAGATTGAAGTATTTTATTAAATATTTTTCGACGACGCAAATCATCGTATGTACAGACACATATATAAAAAAACACATTGTAAATCAATAATATAATCATCGTTCTGTTCAAAATAAAAAACATTAATTTCAAATGTATTAATTTGTAGTATTTTCTCATAAATATTTTAAATTTAGGATGTATTGATGATAGCAAATGATAGACGTTATGATAAAAAAAAGTTATATTAAATATTTGAATATTTAAAATTTTGTGAGTTTAAAACATTAAAAATTCAACATCAAAGTTTTTAATAATTATACATTTTTATTTTTTAATAATTTAAATGTAATGTATACCTAAATGGCTATATTTATTATGTCATTTATGTATCGTATTAGTGCATTTGATTTTTCTGTCATTGATTTATTACTCCATATAAAATAAACTATTGTAAGTTTTTTATTAATGCTTCAGGAAATGTATGAAAACTTTTTAAAAAAAGAGTAACTTTTATTTATAAATTTTTGCACGAACGATTCGTTAAACTGTATGCAAAAAATGTTGTTTTTTTGTTAAATGTGAGTAAAGTGTGGGTAGTAGTGTGATCTTAAAATATAAAGATGAAAGGATAACTTTTAAATTAACTGATATCACATTAACTGATATAGAATGTTATCGCTTATGCAATAGGTATATACGTATAGTAATTTTCGGTAGGATGTCAACCGAACATTGATCTAAATAAAATTATGTATAACTAATCTGTAAATGTATATAAAGTATTATTATTATTATTATTATTATACAGTATATACGCCGCAGATAACTCAAAAGTATAGAAATTTTGTATACTTATCTCGTTTTATTGCAGATTACATTAATAAACACATAAAATGATTATCGCGTAACTATCGGATTATTTTAAGTAAACTTGTAGGTATACGTGAACTTGAAATTATTTAACTGAAATAATTATGTTGTTTATAGTATATATTATAAAGCCGTCGTTTTAGTACGCGTACTATGCTTTATGATTAACGCAAACATTGTGGAATGCAAAATATCTCGAAATGTACTAAATAGTAAATCATCTATATCAGAATTTCGTAATCTGTTGTACGTAAAATAAATCTCGTTTTAAATTATAAAAAATTGGAATTAAACATCGGTGTTGTCCAAACAAAGTCTACAGTTTTTAGTCATTTGTGTGTCATTATCCCTGTTCAAATAATATATTTTTCCGCTTATATACACGAAAAAAAAAGAATCTAGAAATAAATCAAAACGTAGAAAAAATGATTGAAGACTTTAAGTTACCATTGCGCATCATGGAGACCGGTACTGAAATCTTCATTAAGCTAAAACAACAGCAATTGATTTATTAAAAAAAAATTAAGCTATAACTATTAGAATATTTTATTGTACATATTTGATCATAATTTTGTGTGCATCAAACGTTTACATTTTTATAATTATATAGTTAGGTAGGTACCTATCAAATGATCTATACGTATAAGATAACAAATACTTTGTTTGATAGAAAAAAAAAAATAAAAGTTATTAGACCAAGATGTACGTGAACATTTTCAAAACATTTAGGCGGTTCTCGGATATAAAAAGTATAATCTATATGTGTTTCATATCGCACTCGCGATCACCAATCCTGTGTCCGGCCACACTGTATATCGGTGCACTCAGCTGTCACGACCCCCCTTGCTGTAGGATACTTCTCCCCCGTACTGTGGGTATACACACATGATATGTAAGCATCAATATCGACGTGTTTTTCGGTATATAGTCGTCGGTGGCGTGCAGGAGTTAAAGCGCATGTTCAGGGGACAGAAAACGAATTGCACCATAATATGTACTACAACCATTACTGCTTTGTCCGTAATTGAATCCGAATGAGAACTTATGGCGGGGGCGGACCAAGACAAAGAAAAAAAAAGAAAAAAAATCAACTAGTCGACGGAAAAGAAAATTAAGATCTAATTGACTCACACCATCGTCGTCCAAGTGGATATAATGTACCGCGAACGTCGGGGGCGTTGTGTGCGCACCATTTGCTCTCGTCGTATTTGTATTTTGTACGTATAATATTTTAAATCGTGTTTTACACACGCACACACCTACATACGTACATACACATGTACACTGGCGCCTTCTATGCGCAAGGGAGGCTACCGCACGTGCGCGCCGACAAAAACCCCCTTAGGAGGTTTGGTCGGGCGACTGGTGGGGGGAAATCTCAGCTAGGGATATTGCGCAGGAATGCGTCGAATTATGAACCACTACACGCAAAAAAAAAACATCGAGACGACTCCATAGAGAAGGAGTAAAAATCGTTTACGATTATCGTAGTAAAACGCGAGTAAAAGGATTAGGATTTATTATGTTTTGATAATTTTTTCGTTAACGGATATTGTATACGTAATATATAGTATTAATTTTATTCATTGTATTGATCTATCGCCGTACGTTATTCTGTACGATAATATTTCTGTTTTACATTAAATTGCGCGATCCTTTGGAAATTTTAACGTTTTGTATTTACACCACGATTCATTGCTTACATTTACGTTGAAAACTTATTATTGTTTCGTTTTTTATTTTTATTTTATCTGTTATCACTTTATTCACGTGTGACAACGAGCCGTTCGAGTAACCTAATCATTTTACGAACCTCGTGTCTATTAACATAATTTATTTTATTATACACACACACATACACTTGTGAACTGAACTTTGTCAATGGAAGGTGAGTCGAATGACCTACTAACAAAAAGCTTAGAGTACCGTAGCTGTTGTTTTGGTAGATTTAGAGTATGCTGAGGCATACGGAGTCTTAGACGACGATAAATTTGTGATTAAAAAATAACCTAACCATATATCAGTAGTAGTAGTAGTATTATAGTATAATAGTAGTAGGTCATTCGTTAATGTTGACCTTCGGGATGGGTATTTTCATCTCGCCCTTCATGTGTGTACACGAAATCCGAAACTTCCGCGTACACGGTCGACTATTTATATTATTATAACCCATACGTAAAATGTATAATTTTTCATAGTATATAATACATCAAGTATTCGTTTACAAATTGATTAAAACATAATATATTATTGACTATTTTAATGCGATTGCATTAGAACTATCTTGCTCATTATTGGGTCAGTAGGTTAAATCGGGTCATGTATTAAAGTCATTAAATTCAAACAATACATGATTTATATAATTTGTACTTATCTACTCTTACCAATATCTACTGAATTAAATATATACATCTATTTCATGTGTTAGGGGTTACAAATCTATGTAAATATAATATTTTTATTCACACGCATTTGCATCAAATTATAGTAATTTAAAAATAATAATTACATTTTCACTAATCATTGTTATAATACCTAAATATACAAGTATTTGTTGTTGGTGTGATCCGGAAGAATAAAATATTATATTTTGAATTCGTTGATGCGTACCTGGGTAAAATGATAATTTGATATCATCACTGATCGTCGATTTTCTTTATCTCTATAATAGTGTGTTTATATTGTTTTCAACTTGGGTTGTTCGGCGAGTTGGATAATTTTGCTAACAAATACGTCGCTAGAGTGCGTTGCTATTACGTAATATTTTCTTCCGGTAAAAACTATATTATGTCACAATAGTTTGATTTTTGAATGATTTTTGTGAAACTAAAAATCAACAATATAAAAAAAGTGACAGTATATAGACTGAGAAGACTATGTGCTCGGCACTTGTTAAGTTTTACTCGCTTTTGATATGCAGTAGTTAGTACACCTGTAGCGCTGAGTTGTTTTAATTATGATATTAAATTAAAATACAATAATAAAATTACATTTGAAAAATTATGTTTTAATATTATTTGATTATGCTATAAAATTATAAAATCAAATTAATGAATGTATGCGAAAATGATAGTTAAAAGTTTTAATTGGCATTTTGTTTGAAAGTACTCAATTTATAATAGACCTACAAACACGATAGCTACAATAGCTGTAGTATGTTTTTTTCTAGCTATTGAATTAATTTATAAACGTATGCATAGAATGTATAGATTATACTTTTTAAGTAAAGTAAACTTTCAAAACAAATATTAATATCGGATATATCGATGGGTGGATTTGGATCAATATTGAATAGGTATAACACATATAATTTACATCATGCAATATTTTTAAATAAAATTAATGACAATATATTTTTCAAAATTTTGGGTAACTCTAAAATATTTACATTATTATGCACAAAATTTAAGCAATGAAATAAGTAATTTAAAACTTAAAAATTAGTGCATAGTAATCGAGGGCTTAAAAGTCGATAAGTATAATAAAAAGTTTTCGAAATAATAAGAAAAACAAACACAATAAAATATATAATAAAGGTACCTACTGAGACATACAAATATTATATGCTTCTATTATTTCAACAAAATTGTGATTTTTAGAATCATATGAAATATTTATGATTATGTTTTAATTGTTTGGAAGAAATTTTTTTATAACACTTTTTTCATTGCAAAAATAAAAAATGAAATTGATTAAATACTCAGAGAATATGACATAATGTAATCAAACTTAATTTTAATTGAAGAAGAGACATTTTATATTATAAATCACGTACTTGATATTGTTCTTTTATGCACAAATTTAATAACATAAAAAATTAATGAAATAAGTTGAATAATTTTATCAAATTAGATAAAGTTTATTAGGTGTAATTAAAACATTTGATTTTTTTTTTTTGACATCTCATTCCTTCATTTTAGTTTTAGTTCAGATTAATTACCTATGAGAAAACATTTTTAAGCATCTGATTAAACTACTCGTAATAAGACTAATACTATATAATCTTAGTCTTTAAAATTGATTTTATTTTTGTATAAGAGTATAATACTTACATTGAGTTATAGCTAATACGAATTATAACAATTGAAATTTGAAACAATAAAAATACATAAGTATTATACTATTGTTTTTAGATAATGATGTAGTATAATTTTGTTTTACAATATACCAATGTCCAATAACGTTAATACAATAATAATTATATAATTATATCTTAATCAATTAATTATGTTTTGAAAAAAATAAGATAGGTAATATGCCATATTAAGATTTTATTACTCATAGATCAAAGTAAATAATATGATTCTACGGTATTTTAATTATAAAAGGTTTATTTTGATTATGTGATAAACATATAAATCTACAAGGTCTTCTAAATTGTGACTATATAACATTATTTAGCATAAAAATATTCTAGTTAATATTTATATTATCTCTAAATACGTGTAATAATAAAAAAAAAAAAACAAAGTTTTTTCATGGGGGGCAGAGTGCTCAAAAATGTCCATGTTACATTATTATAGAATTTTAATAAATATTATAACCATTATTCATCGTATTATTAAATGTTTTATTCTATTTATTTTTATAAATATATTAAGCATACAATTTTTTGGCCATACGTTTTATTCCATAGTAATAAAGCTATGACTGTGGAACTTTCAAATCTAATTGGAATTTTTTATTATTTTTATAGTTTATAATTTTGTTTAAAAAATAATATTTTTTCGAAAAATAAAAACATATTGCTTGAGCAACTTTTAAATTTGCATAGTTAATTGTTTTAAGAATGAAATAGTTATCATTCTAAGTTAATATACTTACTCAAGTTTTTAGCTATTACGCAATATATTTTATTTACCACTTATTTTCTAACATGTGCAGAAGTTTAACTTTTTATTCAATTTGTTATTAATTTAACAAAAGAATTTTTTAAATGAAATTCATGATGTAATTTAATAAAACTACTTTTTATTACTTAAATATAAGCATACATATTAAACTTATATAGTTATTGTTTCCCATTGATAATAGGTCTTCTGGATAATATATAATAATATATAAACATGTAATAAAAACTATATGATGATAATATATTTTTAAATAATTTACAATATTGTTTAAATATTGTCTAAAATAAACAGCCAAAATCAATAATCTTTTGAAGAAATTCGAAGAATATAACTTGATATACTTGTTTTATGTTATTGACGTTATTGGCGTTATTGGTGTCTGATTCCAAGATTTACGGAAAAAGTCACATTAATAAAGATATGAAATAAAATGTCTATTTTTCGGAAATACTTTAATAACGCATATGTGAAGTAATATTTAAAAAAAGATTCTTTTATTTTTAAATGATTGAGGATAAAATATGTTATATATATAAAACTAGGAAAAATAATGTTTAAACGTTGTTTACAAAATGTTTTATTAAATAATAACAATTAACAATGCGCAAGAATATAAAGTTCTTGGGTGGAGAAAATTTTATTAGTAAAATGAATAAGTTATGAATAGTTTAACCTATATAAAATGAGATAGATTTGAATAATTTGCTAAAAAATTAGGGAAATACATTGGAAAAAAATATGTTTTAGTTGATTATAATATAAATATATAACTCAATACTAAATCCAAACTGATAGATATCTATTTATTTTTTTGTAATAGGAATTACAATATATTATGCTTATAATATACACATTATACGCTGTACTTTGATCAACTTGAAACTGGGTTTTACTAAGGAAAAAAAAATAAAACATTTTTATGTAGTTTATAAAAACCCCATAAATTGAAGAAATATTAACCTGATTGTTTGTAATTCAAATGTATTTACTTAATAGGTTTGACACAGTTCATTAATCTTTTTTTTCAGACTCTTGAACAATATTAAATATATTTATAATATTTAATGGCATAGTAAATCTTTAATATATTTTTAAATTTTATTAAATACGCTATTTAATTGATTAAATTTTAGAAAACTAAAGGAATTTTTAATTACAGACCCGGATTCCATGACGAATTCTTTTCTGTCTAAATTCGTCTTTATTTTGTCTTGGTACGTAGTTTATTTTTTATAAAAAATATTACGTTCAATCGTCCTATCGATTCATTGAGACGTTATCTTCGAATTATTATTAAAAATTCATTGTTTAATATGATTGTTTCTGTAATTTTATTTACATACCATAACCTCCATGATATATTTTATAAGCATATTTTAATACTTAAATAAAGTATAATGATTTTTTTTCTCATATTTTTTCATTAATCTTTTAAATAATTCTATTGGTTTTGAATTTCAAGTATGTAGAGTATTTTTATGAAAAATTTGATAATTCTGTAAATTGTAAGACACTATCGTATAGGAAATGAATCGATAAAATTGTCATATCACAGATAAAGTACTTATTCCTTTATTTACTGTAGGACAGGTATAAATTTGGTTGGTATATTATATGAATATTTTATTGTTATTTAAATATGTATTAACTGTAGTAGTTCATGAAATATTTCTCATATATAAATATAAATTTAAAAAGTCAGAGATACAAAAGTTGTACCAATGTGATGAGTAGATTTATATAAATTTGTTAACATTGTAATAAATGTAGAACAAAATTGTAACCATAGCTCGATTAATCATACCTTAATATTTAAGTAAAGAAAATCAAAAATAATTCAAACGCTTGTAAAAAAGATTCTAAAAATAAGTTAATTATTTTACACAAATAACTGATGTAATTATTGATCTGACATTATTTTAATGTTACATTTTTAGATAATTTATTTTAAAAGGATAATTTTACAAAGTACGTAAAATAACAACATACATTATCAAAATTATATTTGTAATATTAAAGAGATTACAATTTCAAC